TATCGATATTTTCCCAACTCGAACAACTGATAACAGCAAAATTAAAAGACTATTTTTAATCATCAACAACGCTAACAATATAAACATTGAATAACATATGTCAGTGATTGCTACCAACATAACCAGAAACTCCCGTCCTGCCCGTGGACCGATTATAGCAGCATAGAAATGAACTATTTTTTTGTATATACGCCTATTTAGGCTTTTTGGCATCATTCTCATAATGAGGCCGCTGACCAAAATGAAAAAATATCGCAGAAGTATCAAAACATCGATATTTCTTGCCAGAATCGATACTTTTCTTCAAAACCCTGGTATCGATAGTATCGAGTATTTGGTATCGATACCGGCCCATCCCTACTATTTAGTCTTATAAATATTTGAGCGAGTCATGCTTTGGAAATGACAATAAATTTCTATTACGCGACCCTTAAGTTGTTTTGTTTTTCATTTATGCAACCTTTTACTCACTCAAAATTTTGTTTAACCAACCCTTTTCTCTACGGTGCCAGCTCCCACCATAAAGAAGACCACTCCCTCAACAAAAATCTTATTAATTGGGTAAAACATCAGTGCAAGCTCACCTCTTACTGCCATTAATTGGTGCCATATTATAAAAAATGTATAAAACATTTTTCCGTATTGATATATAGTTATATCAACACTCGTGGAAGTTGGGAAAACTCGAAATTGTATGAAAACACTCCGCCCTTCGGGCGTCGTGTTTCCATACAATTTCTCGTTTTCCCAATTCCACTCGTGTTGATATAACTGTATATCAACACGGAAAATGTTTTATATTTGTTAAATATTAAACTTTATTATTGATTTGTTATATCTTGCTCAGTTCTCGAAATATTTGGACCAAAATTAATGAGCTGTCCGCCATCTTGGACTAATTCTTCACCTCATTAACTATGGTTTTGATGACGTCAGGAGTTGGGTTAACCATATAAAACTACTCTAGAATAGCCGAGCAAAAAATGTGCGCCTCTCTGACTGGCCCAACCGACCGATATTTACCTTCCTTCGATGGGCCAATGACACCAATGACCATTGGTGAACTTGATTTCATAAAGATCATTTCTGTGGAGTAGACTTGAAATCGAATTGATATCACCTTTGAGAAATGAAGAGAAATTAATTTATATAGTAACTACAGCGAAACACGCATTTTGATTGGTCAATAGCCATGCAGGATCAAGCTATCCTGTACGAGGAATTGAAATGCATTCTCTTTCAAATGGATTCTCAAAATGTCATTGTTTCACTGTAGTTATTTCATAAAACAATTACCAATCGTTTTTCAGGATAGCGTGATCCATGCACTTGGGTTGTTGCTCGACTTTCAGAAAGCGTAAAAAAAACTCACATGCGGCTCGAGTATTTTTACGCTTTCCGAAAGTCCCGCGACATCCCTCGTGCATGGATAACGCAATCCTGCACGGAAAACCATTCGGTATTCCTTTAATTAGGTTTACTTAAAAAGATGGAATATCCTTAGGGGTGACGGTTCAGTTTAAGAATAATTCCAGTACAATAAGAAGCCTTGGTTGGTGTAGGGAAACCCCAAAGTCTCCAATTCAAGTTAAAATTGCGACATTTCCAGGTAAAATTCTGGATAATAAAGTCTGTATATTTTGTAAAGTCATAACGAAACTAAAATGTCAATTACTTGAAACAACCCAATCCCTTTGCAGACCTCCACATAACGGAGATTTTGCGCAAAATACAGTCAGCTTGAACGCAATATGTTTGCGAATTCACTTCAGAGAACGTCAAAAATTCATTTCTAGAGCTTCAAAAACAAACACATTTTCCGTGGGAATAAATCCCCACTTACAATTACAAAAATAATAATCAATAAAAATTGAACGGGGTTGAGTATGATATCGAGAATTAACAAGGCCGAGGTTTGTGTTATCCACCTTAGCCGAAGGCTTAGAATGAAAGCAAAACCATTTTGTTTACGCTTTCAAAAATATGGAATTTTCGCGCGCTTTTTAGCAAACAGTGGATCGCGCCAGGGCTTGGTAACCACAGCGTGCAATAATACTTTTTTTGGACCGAACTTCGGTCCAAAAAAAGTATAATTGCACGCTGATGGCGTCAGCAGCTGAAATAACGCAATGGCTTCAAGATATCGAGAATTATCCGACGCGTTTTGACCAATAACGAACGAGAATAGACTTTGAATATATAACAATTTAGATTATCATATCAGAAAAAATTCTATACAGAAGTTCAAATTCAGTTCAAATTCTCAAACACTCCCCTCCGCCCCAACACACACACACATCGCTTCATTCTGACAATTTACCAGGATTTTTAAGGATTTTGTAGATAAAACTAGTGCTGTGCGCCGGAGCCGGAGTTTTGGCCTATTGTGCCGTAGTCGAGGTTTGTTCAACTCAGCACTTGTTTGTGCTGCAAACTACTGTCGGACATCGGTGAAAAACCTGAATCCGTCGAGCCGGAGGTGAAAGGAGCCCGAAGTGAAAAACCCGGACTTTGCACATGGGTCTGCACAGCACTAGGTAAAACTGGATTTTTAAGAGTTTCGTAGATGGAAATTTCGGGCGAAAACTACACCCATATTTTAGACTTTACCGGGAACAGTTGCGAAGAACGCAACTACACTGGTATAACCTACAGATACAGAGCGATTATCGCTCGGAAGAAAAAAAAATTCTGGCGGTATAAGATCCAGATCACACCTTGACTGACTTCGGCAAAATGCCTGACTCAATGCAAACATGACTAAATATTGAAGACACAAAATTTCGAAAGTGATTTTATTATCTACAATGACAGTTTGAAAACATAGAAACAAACCATTACATGGCTGTCCTATGCTACGTACTTGTGAAAGAAATCGTCCGCAAAACTATGTTACTTATTTTCTTATTAAAACACTATTTAGGGCCGGACCATTAGATTTTGGATGGGGGGGGGGGGGGGG